GCCGGATGCCGGCATCGGCCGGAGGAGATGGCCGGGGACGCTGGAGGGGACACATCGCAGGAGCGAAGGACAAAGTAAGTGCTGCAAGGACCCCCAGAACAGCGCCGCATGGTAAGCCCGAGTGTAGCTCGGGGTTACCGCTTTTGGTATAGAAATTTTACCCCGAGCTACACTCGGGATTACTGCTAAGGAGGTTAATCTCCTCTCCTCAAGAGAGAATAAACTCAGTTCCTCTAATCTTTCCTCATAGCTGAGCTCCTCCATGCCTCTTATCAGTTGGTTGCCCTTCTCTGTACTTTTTCCAGTTCCCCAATGTTCTTTTTAGAAATTGGTGCCCAAAACTGAACTGCATATTCCAGATGAGGTATTACTAATGATTTGTACTGGGGGAAATGATATCTCTCTCTCTGGAGTCTATACCTGTTTTAATACAAGAGAGGATTTTTCTCGCTTTAGAAACCACAGCTTGGCATTGCATGCCATTATTAATCTTGTGATCTACCAGAACCCCCAGATCCTTCTCCACCATGGATTCCCCCAGTTGTACCCCCCCTAGTATGTATGATGCATGCATATTCTTAGCCCCCAAGTGCAGAACCTTACATTTATCAACATTAAACCTCATTTGCCACAGTTGCCCAATTAAACAGTGCATTGAGGTCAGCTTGTAAATTGAAGACATCCTGTAAGGACGTTATTCCACTGCACAGCTTGGTGTCATCTGCAAAGACTGAAATGGTATTTTTAATCCCAGACCCTTTATCGTTTATAAATATATTAAAAAGTAAGGGTCCCAACACTGAACCTTGGGGTACACCACTGACAACCCTAGACCATTCAGAGTATGAATCATTAACCACTACTCTTTGAATACGATCTTTCAGCCAGTTTTCTATCCATTTACATACGGATTTTTCCAAGCCTGTAGACTTTACCTTACACATTAGCTGTGTGTGGGGAACTGTGTCAAGTATACCACGTCAACCACCACCCCTCTGTCCAAAGTTTTGCTCACCTCCTCATAAAATGAAATCAGATTTGTTTGACAACTTCTGTCTTTCATGAATCCATGCTCTCTGTTGCTTAAAATATTTTTTTCCAGCAAGAACTCATCTATGTGGTCTTTTATTGAACTCTCCAGTATTGTCCCAAACTATAGAAGTTAAACTAACAGGTCTATAATTATTTTGACTCTTTTTAAATATAGGCACCACATTGGCCTTATGCCAATCCAGTGGTACTATGCCAGTCATTAAAGAGTCCCTAAAAATTAGAAACAATGGCTTTGAAATGACAGAGCTCAATTCCTGAAGGACCCATGGGTGTATGCCATCCGGTCCAGGTGCTTTATTCACCTTTATTTTGTCTAAATATTTCTGGATCATATCAATTGTGAGGCAATGTGGATCATCTGGAGCTGTGTCAATACCATGCCCATTATGGACAAGAGCTCCCCCATGCTCCTTTGTATATACAGAGTTAAAGAAGGTATTTAATATATTTTCCTTCTCTTTGTCCCCAGTCACCCACTCTAGATTATTTTGTAAAGGGCCTACATGCTCGAACCTGACCTTTTTACTATTAATATATTTGAAGAATTTTTGGGGATTTGTCCTGCTATCTTTTGCAATCTTTTGTTCATTATAAATTTTTGAGGCCTTTATTTCCTTTTTCATACTCTGTTATATTCTTTGTAATGTTTAAACGATGATAGCGTTCTTTCATTTTTAATAAAAGTTCTTTTCTTATTATCTATAGCTTTTTTAACTTTGGCCATTAGCCACATAGGTTTGATTTTTAGCCTTTTAAATTTGTTGCCCATGGGAATATATTTTGCATTGTGTTCACATACAGTCTTCTTGAAGAACTCCCATTTCTGTGTTGTGTTTATTGATGCCAATATTCCCTCCCAGTCTAAGTCTTGGGGAGCAGCTCTCAGCCTTGGAAAATTAGCTCTCTTAAAGTTGAGCGTTATTATTTTTCCTGTATGTGCTTGCTGTTTACAGCTAACAATAAATTAAATTATGTTATGGTCACTGCTACCCAGATGTTCTTTTATATGGACATTCATAGAAAGCTCTGCATGGTTTGAGATTACCAGATCCAGCAGAGCATCATTCCTAGTTGGGGCCTCTATGAACTGTACCATAAAATTGTCCTTTAACTGTTCATGCAGTACCATTACTCCAGTCAATTTCCAGGTATTTAAAATCCACCATTATTATCACTGTCCCAGCCATTGCAGCCCTTTCAATCTGTGCAAGGAGCAGAGTCTCCACCTCCTCATTAACATTGGGAGGCCTATAACAAACTCCAATGATTACCTTTGTAGTATGCACCCCCATGTGCAGTTCCACCCATAATGCTTCAGCCTCATCACACTCTCCATCAAATAGGTCCTCTTTCACACTCGCTCTGAGATCACTTCTCACATAGAGACAGACATCACACCACCTTTCCTTTTTACCCTGTCTCTCTGTAAGAGAACATAGCCAGGAATATTAATGGCCCAGTCATGTGAAGAAAGAGCCAAAATTCAGCAATGCCAATGAAATCATAGTTCTGTTCATGTACCAAAGCTTCCAACTCACCTATTTTGCTTGGCAGACTTCTGGCATTGGCGAACAAAACTTGAATTCATTGATACCTTGTGCACACGTATTTTGCATATTTTTTATTTTTGTACAAATGGTACCAATTCCAATGGTTATTTGTAACATGGGGACCTTCTTATCATCTGCCATAGCCCTGTCCCCATCTTTCCCCATTCCACTCAACAATAAGAACTGACCCTTGTCTGATCTGTCTACCCCATTATAATCTAATTCTCCCTCCCCCCTTGACCCTAGTTTAAATACTTCTCCAACCTCCCCATAAACCTCTCCCCCAGCACAGCAGACTCCCTTCCATTTAGGTGCAAAATTTCCACTCGCCTGCTTGCATTTGGCAAGTGAAAATAATGTGGGGTGAGTCACTGGCCGACACCACCATAAGGCAGCACAGGCAGCTGGGTAGACAGACCCAGGCGCTCCATGTCCCAGACCTGTGCACCAATCACCCTCTCCATTCCCCCATTCCTCTCCCTGCTCTCCTCCTTTAGTCTTGGTTTCTAGTGTCTGCGTCTCTCACTAGGGGGAACGTGTGGGCCAGCACTGTGTACAGGGTGCCGCTGCATCAACCTCCACTCCATGACATGTTGGTTTTCATCTAACAGGTTAGTGATCTCTATGCTCCGGCTGCAGCTGCACTTTCTTCTCTGACAATCTCTCTCCTCCTTTCCGATCCTCTCCTCTACTTCCTGCCATCCCGGTCCAGCCACACCAGTTCTCTGCTTTCCTCCTCTCCTTCCCCACCATGCACAGTTCAAGCCCCACTGGCGGGCTCTTTCTGTAAGTGGGGACTCTGATGGTACAGGGGGGCTCTGATGGTACAGGGGGACTTTGATGGTACAGGGGGCTCTGGTGGTACAGGGGGGCTCTGGTGGTACAGGGGGGCTCTAATGGTATGGAGGGTACTGATGGTACGGGGGGCTCTAATGGTACAGGGGGGCTCTGATGGTACAGGGGGACTTTGTTGGTACAGAGGCACTCTGATGTTAAAGGGGGGCCTCTGATGGTACAGGGGGACTTAGATGATAAAAGGGGGACTCTGTTCTGATGGTACAGGGGGGCTCTGATGGTAAAGGGGGGCTCTGATGGTAAAAGGGGGGCTCTGATGGTACAGGGGGACTGATGGTATGGGGGACCTCTGATGGCACAGGGGGACTTGGATGGTAAAAGAGGGCTCTGATGGTACAGGGGGGCTCTGATGGTACAGGGGGACTTTGATGGTACAGGGGGCTCTGGTGGTACAGGGGGGCTCTGGTGGTACAGGGGGGCTCTAATGGTATGGAGGGTACTGATGGTACGGGGGGGCTCTAATGGTACAGGGGGGCTCTGATGGTACAGGGGGACTTTGATGGTACAGAGGCGCTCTGATGTTAAATGGGGGCCTCTGATGGTACAGGGGGACTTAGATGATAAAAGGGGGACTCTGTTCTGATGGTACAGGGGGGCTCTGATGGTAAAGGGGGGCTCTGATGGTAAAAGGGGGGCTCTGATGGTACAGGGGGACTCTGATGGTATGGGGGACCTCTGATGACACAGGGGGACTTGGATGGTAAAAGAGGGCTCTGATGGTAAAAGAGGGGCTCTGATGGTTCAGGGGGGCTCTGATGGTACAGGGGAAATATGATGGTAAAAGGGGGGCTCTGATGGTACAGGGGGGCTCTGATGGTACAGGCAGGCTCTGATGATACATGGGGGCTCTGATGGTACAGGGGGACATTGATGGTAAAAGGGGGCTCTGATGATACAGGGGGGCTCTGATGGTACAGGGGGACATTGATGGTAGAGGGGGACTGGTAGAGGAGGACATGGGATGGGGGAGATGGGACTGGAGAAGGAGGAAGACATGGGATGGAGGAGGCGTTTATATTGCTTTACGTTAATATTGTTAAATTTTTTGTTAATATTTATTCCACATAAGACATTTAACAGTGTCATTTCATGAGATAATTTAGGAGGGCATGTTGAGGGGCAGAGCAGGGTAAGGGTTGGGTGGGGCAACTGATGGCGAGTAACTCTAAAGGCCAGGCTAGTAGCTCAGGACTTGAAATTTTGAGCTCTGTATATGTATATATATATATATATATATATTGCCAAAAGTATTGGGGCGCCTGCCTTTACACGCACATGAACTTTAATGGCATCCCAGTCTTAGTCTGTAGGGTTCAAAATCAAGTTGGCCCACCCTTTGCAGCTATAACAGCTTCAACTCTTCTGGGAAGGCTGTCCACAAGGTTTAGGAGTGTGTCTATGGGAATGTTTGACCATTCTTCCAGAAGAGCATTTGGGAGATCAGGCACTGATGTCAGACGAGAAGGCCTGGCTCGCATTCTCCGCTCTAATTCATCCCAAAGGTGTTCTATCAGGTTGAGGTGCACAGTCAAGTTGGAACAGGAAGGGGCCATCCCCAAACTGTTTCTGCAAAGTTGGGAGCATGAAATTGTCCAAAATGTCTTGGTATGCTGATGCCTTAAGAGTTCCCTTCACTGGAACTAAGGAGCCAAGTCCAACCCCTGAAAAACAACCCCACACCATAATCCCCCCACCACCAAACTTTACACTTGGCACAATGCAGTCAGGTAAGTACCATTCTCCTGGCAACCGCCAAACCTAGACACGTCCATTGGATTCCCAGACAGAGAAGCGTGATTCGTCACTCCAGAGAACACATCTCTACTGCGCTAGTGTTCAGTGGTGGCGTGCTTTACGCCACTGCATCTGACACTTTGCATTGCACTTGGTGGTGTAAGGCTCGGATGCAACTGCTCTGGCATGGAAACCCATTTCATGAAGCTCTCTATGCACTGTTGCTGTGCTAATCTGAAGGCCACATGATGTTTGGAGATCTTTTGCTATTGAGTCACCCGACAGTTAGCACTGTGTGCTTCAGCAGGCACTGACCCCGCTCTGTCATTTTACGTGGCCAACCATTTTGTGGCTGAGTTGCTGTTGTTCCCAGTTGCTTCCATTTTGTTATAATACCACTAACAGTTGACCGTGGAATATTTAGTAGCAAGGAAATTTCATGGAAGAACTTGCTCAGGTGACATCCTATCATGGTACCACGCTTGAATTCACTGAGCTCCTGAGAGCGACCCATTCTTTCACAAATGTTTGTAGAAGCAGTCTGCATGCCTAGGGGCTTGATTGTAAACACCTGTGGCCATGGAGGGGATTGGAACACCTGAGTCCAATGATTTGGAGAGGTGTCCCAATACTTTTGGCAATATAGTATATATACTATATATAGTGATGGAAATTAAGTAATGTAAAGATGGGTGATGTAAAATTCACTTTGCATAGAATACCCAATCATGTGCATGAAAATTTTTTAAAAACAGGATTTTTGCTGGCAAATGATTGAATAATTAAAGTCAGCACAATGTCACCTCATTCACTATGACATAGTCATTTGTTGTGTCTAGTAAAACCCCACTTGTTGTTTCTATTTTTCCACTTCCTACAAGTATGAATGGAAAGTGTTTCATTAAATATTGTGAGGGCAGATAACATAGAATCTGTACAATACCGACAAGCTACAGTTCCCTAAAATACAAAAGCCTATAAATGACACAATAAATCTTACAGTGACAGCAAGCCAGCCTCTATCTAGGCAGCAGTGCAGTACAAGATATACTTAATATGACATGTACAGTACCAAGTCAAACAAATGGAGCATATGACATTAAAAGACTCAGAAATGTTCTATAAGCTGAAATATTGATGTGTTCTCTGCTAAGAGCTGCCGTAATCACTTTTCCTGCTCCATCCTCTAAAGTGCTGCCTCCTACAATGAACCCTTCATGATCTGAGTCTGCAAGTGGGTCAGTCTACACAGTAACACCGTAGTAAAAAGCAAAGCAGAACTGGATGAGGCACTGGGGGGAAAAAGCAAAGCAGAACTGGATGAGGCACTGGGGGGAAATGATGCCCCAACAAGGATAGGTCAGGAGGAGAATCCTAAGGAAGCATAGTGTGAGCAAAGACCTCAACAAAGTTGATAAAACTACATTTACAGCTATCTATATCATAGTGAAATAGTCATTGAAAATTATCTTCAAGAGGAACTATTTATTATAAGAAAAGTCATACTCTACTAAAGATAAATAAGTAAGAGTTTTTTGTCAAACTGAATTTCAAAATAAATTACCAATTCTGAGTTTGTGAAAATTCAGTTAAAATTAGCAAGTGGCAATTCCTTTGAGATTAGGTCACCAAGGGGCATTGTCCTAGAAGACAACATCTGTCTTTATCAGTGGTGCACCCCAAGGTTCAGTGTTGGGACCCTTACTTTTTATTTAATTTATAAGTAATATTGGGCTCCATTCACAAAGCATTATCTGACCGCATATGAGTATGCAGACAAGAAGGCCCCCAGATCCCTGCTCCCCCCATCTAAACCCCCCCCATATAAAAGAGTATGTTGTACATAGTACTCCAACTCATTCACCAAAAAAGTGGAAGGCTTCCGCCTCCAGTTGCCAATTAAACTAAGGGGCGGGGCCACCCAATTATATCACCCAATTATATTACCCCCTCCCCTTCATCATCACCTGGGCATGCTGGGTCAATGACATTATAAGGGGATGGGGGTCACCCGGTGACATCATTGGGTGGCCCTGCCCCTTGATTTATTTAGCTTTTTCGGGTGCACCTCTTTTGTTTTCCCAATTCGGCGGCCAGCATTCATTATGCTTGACGTTGAATCTTCTTCCGGGGACATATATTTTTGTTTTTTGGGGGGAGCTTTGAATAAAGGACTTGTCAAAAAATGTTATTGTGTTTTTACCCCAAACTCATTCACATGGGGGGCTTCCAGATTCTGATAAGCCTCCACCTACAAACCTCACAACCACCGGGCCAGGGTTGTGGGGAAGATGCCTTTGTCCTCATCAACATGGGGACAAGGTGCTTTGGGGGCACCCTGCCCCAAAGCACTCCCCTCCCATGTTGAGGGCATATGGCCTGGTTTGGTTCACGAAGGGCGCTTGCTCATCCCCCCCCTTTCCTGGCGTGCCAAGCTGAATGCGCAGATAAGGGTCTAGTATGGATTTTGAGGGGACCCCCACTTCTTTTGTTAAAAAATTTGGCATGGCATTCCCCTAAAAACCCTTATCAGACCCAAAGGGTCCCCACACTGTTTTCTTTTTGTAATTTTTAACTGCAATTGTTTTAGTTACATTCAGCTGTCAGGGAAGCGAGGGTCCTAAGGAGGGGTTACTAAGCTCTGGTGAAAATTAATGCAACTGCACTTGCAAAATGCACAGTCTACTTGCCTTTAGTAAATCAATCCCATAATTTTTCCCTTGTACTATCATTAGTAACACCTAAAATATGCAGTTCAGATTTGGGCAGCTGCCCACAAAAAAGGATATCAGGGCACTGGAGAAAGTGCAGAGAAGGGCAACCAAACTCATAAAAGGCATGGAGAAGCTCAGCTATGAGAAAGAATTAGCTGAACTGAACTGATAAGGGGAAAATTACTTGACAGGGTGGAGAGAGTGTAAGTTGGAGAGGCAACAAGCTCCAGTGTCATGATTTGCCAGCATGACAGATAGGGAAGGGTCATGTGAGTAGCGATAAGAGGAGGAGCTGTGCTGATCAGTTGATAAGTCAGTTGTGGAGGAAGAGTAAATGACATTGGAGAAGGCTGTGGTATGCTCTGACTGATTCGTAGGAATACTGGTGCGGGTGGGGGCCATGGCCACCATAGTTGAGGGTGGAGCTTTATGGAAAAAGTGAATACAACAGCTCCAAGGTTGGTCTGCCAGCATGTTGGTAGTAAGGCCTGAATATGCACAATTGAAGAGCACCCATTGCTCTCTGCAGCAAAGGACTTGCCATGGATATACAAAAATGGAACTAAAGCTGACAATAACAAGGCAGAAAAAGTTGTAAAAAGCAAGAAGATGATTTATCATACTAGCCAGGAAAAAATACAGAGGTAAGGAAGGCAAGAAAATGTTGTCAAAGTGATATACAGAAATATTGTCAAAGTGATATACAAGCTTTTGAAGCTCTAAATATATGAAGGTATTATAAATTACATAGTTAGTCTGGCTGAAAAAAGACAAAAGTCCATCCAGTTCAACCATTAAAAAAAAAAAAAAAAAGGTTATAATCCTACACCCACAGTTGATCCAGAGGAAGGCAAAAAAACCCCACAAAAGCATGATCCAATTTGCTCCTGAAGGGAAAAGAATTCCTTCCTGATCCCCCGAGAGGCAATCAGATATTCCCTGGATCAACTTTACCTATAAATGTTAGTATCCAGTTATATTCTGTATATCTAAGAAAGAATCCAGGCCTTTTTTAAAGCAATCCACTGAGCTGGCCAGAACCAACTCTTGAGGTAGTCTATTCCACATTTTCACAGCTCTCACTGTGAAGAACCCTTTCCGTGTTTGGAGGTTACATTTTTTTTCCTCCAGATGTAAAAAGTGCTCCCTTGTCCTCTGTGATGACCTCAGGGTGAATAAATCTAAACTGAGCTCACTATATGAATCACTGATGTATTTATACATGTTGATCATATCCCCCCTTAATCTCCTCTTCTCAAGAGAGAATACATTCAGTTCCTCTAATCTTTCCTCTTAGCTGAGCTCCTCCATGTCTCATATCAGTTTGGTTGCCCTTCTCTGTACTTTCTCCAGTTCCCCAATGTTCTTTTTGTGAATTGGTGCCCACAACTGAACTGCATATTCCAGATGAGGTGTTACTAATGATTTGTACCGGGGTAATATGATATTTCTCTCTCTGGAGTCTATACCTCTTTTAATACAAGAGAGGATTTTGCTCGCTTTAGAAACTGCAGCTTGGTATTGCATGCCATTATTAAGCTTGTGTTCTACCAGAACTCCCAGATCCTTCTCCACGATTGGCAGATAAAATGCAAATGTGTTTGTCATAATGTCTGAAGGAGGAGCTTTAGAGGTCTAGAAGCTTTTTTATATAACATTTGTAGTTAGATTAGCCAATAAAGGTTTGTTAGTTTTGCCACTTTGACAGCATCACCAAAGAGAAGCCTGACAAGAACAGCAATAGGAAATTATAACGCCTTATCAAACTTCCATTTCAGAGGATACAGTAGGCCCTCTCAAAACTGATTTTTCATTTAAGGCTTCTTTCACACTGATCCCTTTTCCTTCTGCTTTCGCACTAAAAAAAAAGCAGAATAAAATGTGTGACTATGTATTGCTATGAGAATCAATAGAAAGCACTGAAAAAAAACACATAAAAAACTTATCCGAGCTCCTGCCCACAGAAATATACCGATACATTCAAATAGCACACAATATAGCGACAATAAAGCATACAGAGGATCTGATTGCCTCCACACCAACGGAATGCCTATGTAAGAACTATAATGGATTTCTATCTAAAATCTATGTCTTATTATATTCTGATTCCTCTAAACTACCTTACATGGACAGATGGGAGCAAGATCTGGGTGAGCAGATAGATAAAGCAGAATGCGGTAAACTTGCTCAATATGGCTCTCCGGCTATTATTAACACATGATTGATAGAAGCAAATTATAAGGTCCTCCTGAGATGGTACATGGTACCTGTACGGGTGGCATCCTGTTTTCCGGATGCCTTGCCCCTTTGCTTTAGAGGCTGTGGCCAAACGGGGACGGTACTCCATGTTTGGTGGACATGTCCGAAAGTCAGGTGGTTTTGGATACGCAGATATAACTTTGTCTATTCTCTCACCCAGATGAATTTCAAGAAAAGCCCTCGACAGGCCCTACTGGGAGGCCCAGTGGAGGGGGCACCAAGACCAGTGGGACGGTTGATAACATTTATTTTTTCGGCAGCTAGAATTTCCATTGCACTGTCTTAGAAGTCTCCTGTGATTCCATTTTATCTTTTGAGAGCCAAATTGACATGGATAATGACAAATGAACTCCTCTCGGCACTCCTACAAGATAAGATGCCCCTCTTTGAAAGGCCTGTCGGACTCCCCATGAGACAGTCTACCTGTCCGAGATTAGATGAGAGTGTACCTCTATCCCCCCCCCCTTTTTTTACTTAATTTTCCTTTCTTTTCTTTTTCTATTTTTTGGTTGTGTTTATTGGCGACATGCCACTCTGTGGC